GGTGGGGCATCGATCTGGTCGGTATTTTGCCTCGGGGGACAGGGAACAACACATACCTGGTGGTCGCGATTGACTACTTCACCAAGTGGGTCGAAGCCGCCCCCGTGCCAACCATCACTGCGGAACAGATGACGAAGTTCGTTTCCAAGCAAATCTTGTGCCGATTTGGGGTGCCCCAGCAGATCATCACTGACAACGGAACCCAATTCAAGGCCGGAGGGTTCAATGAGTTTCTATAGAGCTGGGGCATAAAACACAGCTATGCAGCGGTCGGGTACCCCCAAACCAATGGGCAGGTTGAGAACACCAATCGTACCATCATGGACGGCCTCAAGAAGAAGATAATGGAATGCAAAAGTGCCTGGGTGGAAGAAGTGCCCTATATTTTGTGGACCTACAGAACTACCCCAAGGAAGGATACAGGTGAAACTCCGTTCTCGCTCACATATGGATTTGAAGCAAGGGCTCCAGCGGAGACCTCGTTGTTAAGTTATAGAGTAGAGACGTTTGATGCTCAAGGCAATGAAGGGAAATGGCATATATGCGGGCAGAAAACTACCGCCGGCAGGTCAAGTCATATCACGACCAGCGGGTGCGACCAAGGCAGTTCAAGGTGGGCGACTGGGTCCTTCGAAAGAGGGAGGTCAGCCGGCCGACCGATGGAGGGAAGTTTGCTAAAAGCTTAGAGGGGCCATATATCATAAAGGAGGTGTTGGCTGATGGGACATTTAGATTGCAGACTCCAACCGGTGGCGACGTTCCGCGAGTATGGAATGCCGCCAACCTTATTAAATTTTATCAATAGATTGTATTCCAGCCATGTCTTTTTCTTGAGATTTAATAAATCCAGCTCTCTGGCACATCTTGTCTCCAATTCTCCAAAAAAAAGGAGCGACCACAAGAGATCGCTAAAATTGCACGGTGATTCGTGCTAAGATACCCAGTAGTGGGTGAAGCGTCGAACCCTGTCAAGCGACCAAGGTTGAAGAAGACGCCGTGGCAAGAAAGTCTGAGAGAACGGCTAAGTCTGGAACACAAGATCTGTTGATCGCATAAGCGACCAGGGGATCTTGGGGGTATGGCGACACCACAAGGGTCAAAATAACCCGAAAATGGCTAAGTCAAAAGAGGCGAGGTATTCTCTGATTCAAGTCCGAGGAAACCTGAACGTCAAAAGTAGGATGCGAAAGAGAAGGAGGTGAAACTTGTAAGTAAACAGGTAACATCAAAATACATTCACAGAAATGTTCATTACATTTCAAGGATAATCTCTTGCATCTGCTACAGTACAGTTGAGAACAATCTCTACGTAAGGAAGGATACTTCCCCATACATCTCCTACAATGAAAAACAACAATCTAAGACTTTGCGAGCGAAGGTCTTGGGGGGACAGGCAGGTTTGAAAGGTAGTTCTGCGGCTGTATAGGCAGGCAAAACTCCGATCACCGGCCGTCCAGGACGACCACCTTTCTTCCCCAACATGGAACGGGAGTGGTCGCCCCCAGCCTCGGCAAAAACCCACCGCCTTTCTCCTACCAAGAAAGGACGGGGGACGGCTCACTTCTCTGTGAACCCCAACCAGCATCACCTAGGCGAGGACGGAGATCCTGAAGCCGCCCGAGCTACTTCAGGTCGCCTAGGGGTCTTCTGGGGAAGTGAATGGCAAGCGGGGCGAGGTAGGGAAGAACCCAGTTCTTCCCCTAACACAACCTCCTCCGTAGGCCTCACCGGCGAACTGGTGCGACTTTCGCTAGTCCATCGCTCAAAACTTGCGTAGTATGCGCACTCATGCTCCAGGAGGGGTAAGTGCTCATCTTGAAAGCTCTCCCAGGCCATACATTGCAGGGAATGGAGGGGGCATGGAGCATCCCAGTCAATCCGCCCGTCAGGCAGGCGGTTGGCGGAGAGGGCCTCGTACGCCTCACTAAAGTCTTCATAAGGGTTTGGAGGTGGTGGCGGCGGTTTCACCGACG